TGTTTCATGCGGAATTCCAAGAGGGTCAATTTTAGCCCCTCCCCCTACTTTTTCTAATATATATAAATGATATTCATAACTGTTCTTCCAAACTCAGTTATGTCCTCTTTGCAGATAACACTACGATATCGTTATCAAACACAGATAAAGAAACCCTTATTCTAACTCTAAACCACAAACTAGAACATGTCGCCCAATGGTTCAAAGTTAACAAGCTACTACTTAATGCAAACAAAACTCATATGATGATTTTCACCAAAAAAAATATTGATATTACCAACTATAAGGTAATTCTAAATGGCTATGAAATAACGGTAGTATCTAGCACAACATTTTGAGGAATTCAAATTGATGACGAATTTACCATGTAAGTTACATAATTATGTACACAAATTTCACGAAATATTGGTGTAATGAACAAAATAAACTACGTGCCTAGAAATATTTTGTTATCTCTATACTATACACCTGTTTACCCTTATGTTATATATTGTAATATTGTCTGGGCCTCAGCTTCTCAAGAAACAATGTTGAGACTATATAGGTTGCAAAAAAAGCAGTGAGGATAATTTTTGTAATGCCTCTCCTTGCCTCCACTAAACTTTTTTTGTTATACTCAATTTAACTTTTGAATTCATTCGATTTGTAAAAATTAAGACTGGCCATTTTTATGTTTTCTTTTCAGAGACAGATCTTGCCATTATCCCTGACACGCTATTTTTCCATTAACTCCGCAATCCACTCCCACTGTACTTGATCAAATGCAGATTTTCACATCCCATATGCAAGAACTGTTTTCTCGAAAGGCTATTTACTATGCAGGTCCCAAACTATGAAATGCATTGCCACCTAATCTAAAATATGCATGCTCTCAGAACGCTTTCCAGAGACAATACAAAGAAAGGCTTTTACAATCTTATTCACATTGAGTCACCTGTTGTTTGTTGTTTATTCCAATGTTAATAATTGGGTTCTAGGACAATTACCCCCTGGGCAATCACCCTCGGGAAATTACTCCCCGGAAAACTACACCCCAAGGACGATTACCCCCCAGAATATTACCCCCCCGGAGAACTACCCCCCGAGGACAATTACCCCCCAAGGACAATTACCCCCCGGAAAATTACCCCCGGAAAATTACCCCCCTGAGAACAATTACCCCCAGAAAATTACCCCCCCCCCCCGGACAATTTTTATGGCGCCAAATCCACTTTACAATCAAATGCTCAATGCGCAGCTTGTGCAAAAGAGGAAATACATGGTAAATAAATACAAAAGTGCAATAGAAAAGCTAACGGTAATAAATTATAAGCTAAATTAAATAGATATTTCTTATGATTGTTTTTAACGCTTCACCAGAACTGCTATTTTTAATCCATTGAGGAAGAGTATTCCATAATGAAGGCCCAGCATGAGCGAAGGTTCGCTCCCCGCTTTGTTTTTAGCCGGATCACAAGTAAGCTGGCCTTTTGAGAGCGTAGCTGTCTAGAGGGAATGTAATGCTTGGTCAAGCCGATGTTGTACTGCGGAGGGAGGGAGAGGGGTTGTTGATTTTGTTTAAGGGTGCTTCACCCCCCCCCCCTCCTCACCACTTATTCGCCGCTAAATATTTTATCACGAATTTTTGTTTACCCTCCTCGCAATGTCTCACTCTCACCTCTGGCTATAAGTTTGCAACCTTAAGAACTTCCCTTAAAAAAAAGCTTGCACGGGCTTGTAATTAAGCTATCATTAAATTGTAAGAAATCAAAGTAGATATTATTCCATTTCTAAAATGAAAAGAAAATTTCATAAAAATACTGACACGATAAGAATTAAAAATACTTAATACATCAGTTTTCATGTTTAAATATCACAAAGGGATTCTACCAGTATTTTTCGATGATATGTTAAGAACTAATTCTTCATTCCCTACCTGTTACACTCGTGCCCAAAAGAAAAGAAGAAAAGGGAGACAATTATTTGTTCGTTTGTTTGTTTTCATTTCTGCATTTTCAAAATAGAACATAATCATATACATTAAGTAACAAATATGTCTTCATTTTACATAATTGTAAATGTTTAAGAACATTAAATAAAATGCATACAAACACAAATATAATTTCAATGAAAAAACATAAATTACAGAAAACTAAAGGGTCGAGCATGATTTAACTATTTTAGATAAATTGTTCCAAAAATCGGGGCCATGGTGTCTGATTGATTTATGTGTAATCAACAATCTGCGGTTAGTTAAATGAAAATTCTCAGAAATACGAGTTGGATAAGAATGAATTGTATTATTATGAACAAAAACATTATCGAATGAAGGTGGCAGTTGCTTTTTATTCATGTATTTGAACATGAAAATTGCAACTTGGAGAGTATGTAAGTCAGCGACTTTTAAGGTTTTTAACTTAAGAAATAATGGGTCTGTATGGGCTATAACAAAAAATAGATCCAGTACAAATACGCAATGCCCTTCTTGTAATAACAGAATTGAATTAAGTTTAGTTACACCACAATTTGCCCAAACAATATTACAATATGTTATATATGGAAGTACTAGTGTGTTATAAAATAAGAATAACGTAGTATTGGGCAAAAGACATTTTAACTTATTAATGATTCCAACACTTCTGGATATACACATTGATACATAATGTAAGTGATCATTCCATGTTAAATTGTCGTCAATAAATCAGTTTTGTATAAAAGAAATAAAAGTGGGCCTAAAATGGAGCCTTGGGGAACGCCACAATTAACGGAAAGTAAATCCGAATTAAGACAGTTAAAAATAACATATTTTTTTCTATTTGTTAAATAATCCTTAAGATATGAGAGGACTTGGCCCCGAATACCGTAAAAAGAGAGTTTTTAGAGTAAAATAATATGATCGAGCGTATCAAACGCTTTACTGAGATCTAAAAAATACCAATCACGTGTTCTTTATTTGCTATGCCATTAGTAATCTTTTCACAAATTTGTTCTAAGGCCAAATCAGTGGAGGGATCTTCCTAAAACCATATTGATTTAAATTTAATATTTAGTGAGTATTTAAAAAATTGATTAACCTATTATATACAATTTTCTCTAAAACTTTAGATATACTAAAATAATAGATATTGGACGATAATTACTAATTTCATGCGAATCATCTTTTTTAAAGATCGGAATTATCTTCGCTATCTTAAGTAAATCGGGAAAAAAAAACCTTGCAATAAAGACTGATTAATAATATGGGTTAGTGGATTGGCAATAACATGTATTATATGTTTTAAAAGTGATGTACTAATTCTATCACAACCTTGAGCTTTGGACATGCTTAATGCTTTAGTAACGGTAATAATTTCATTATGGTTTGTTGGACTTAAACAAATATTGTTGGATTCGATCTGATAAAAAGTCAGTATAATGAATGTTAGGAGGACTATCAATTATACTTGCAAGTTGGGGCCCAATATTAGTGAAAAATGAATTGAAATAATTAGCCTAATTACTAAAATCCTTAATTATAACATTATTTAAAGTGAGCTCATCTTTTGGTAAAGTGTCTATTTTAGCATATGTGTTTACAACTAGCCCTCTTTAATTTATTTGAAAAGTATTGCTTCCGGGATATTCGAATTAATTTTGTTAATTTATTACGGTATTTTTTATAAGTTGTTAAATTTACATCAGTTTTTGTTACGTATATATGTTTTATACATGCGATTTCTAGTTTGTATTGATTTGAGTATACCTTTCGATATCTAAGGGTTATTTGGTTTATTATTTTTACGATTAGATTTCGCTAAAGAAATATTACTATCGTAATAATTTTGTAATTTAGTATTAACATTTTCATAAGCAATATTTACATCGTTTACATTATGAGGGGTTTCTTTTCGATACATAATATTATAAAGTGGTTTCAATTGGGAAATTTCATGGTCACATATTACAAAAATAGGTAAATGGTCAGAAACTTCAGAGCATAATAATATTTTTTGTAGTAAATGCATTAGAAAAAAATATTATCAGTAAACGTTGAGGGAGGGGCAGAGGGAGGGGCAGAGATATCAAGGAAGGATTAGCATCAAGTCGTCTTTGACCGTTGGTTCTATTAGTATTCTGCCCAATATTTTTTTTCATTCAAAGCAGAGATGACATTGGTACAATGGTAATTCGTCATGCGTTTCTTGTGGTTACCTCGATGTTGTCGAATTTCCTTTCGGTAAAGTTGATGTCGTTGATTGGTGTGATATCGATCTCGTGAATAAAGGAGGAGGTGTGAACAAAGCATCAGGATATCGCGGTACACCGTCACGTGTAGCAGTGCAAGGGGGACATATACAGTTGTGAAATACGCCATCTGTAAAGGTACAGACCTAAATACATAAATTATTGTGCTTCTAATACAGTTCAACTTGATACTGTTTAGTGTCTCGTAAATGCAAGGGCAGATTTAATCAAACTACCACGCAATGGTTCTGCACCACAAGGTAAATCAAACCGTTATAATCAACACGATATAGCAGAAATTATCATGTCAAAGGAAGCAGATCTGAGACGTACTGATATTGTCAGTACTATCCTTCTAAATGCAGCTTCCCAGGGTGATATTTACACTGTAAATTACATCATACGCAAAGGCGCGTACCCGAATTCGGTAAATGACGATGGTTATACAGCCCTTCACATTGCCTCACGGGAGGGTCATCTTGATATTGTTAACTGTCTAGTGAATGCAGGAGCTGATGTAAAGAAAGCAGCAAAGAATGGCGCGACACCTCTCGATACGGCGTCATATACAGGTCGTGTGGACATTGTAAAATATCTCATTTATCAAGGAGCGAACCCAAATTCGGTTAAAAACGATGGTTACCAACCCCTGCACTTTGCCTCGAAAGAGGGTCATCTAGATGCTGTTGAATATCTAGTGCATGCAGGAGCTGATGTGAATAAAGCAACACAGAATGGTTATACACCACTGCATATTGCCTCACAAGAGGGTCATCTTGATGTTGTTGAATGTCTAGTGAATGCAGGAGCTGATATGAAGAAAGAAGCAAAGAATGGCGTAGCATCTCTGAATAGGGCGTCATATTCAGGTCATGTAGACATTGTAAAATATCTAATTTCTCAAGGAGCGAACTCGAATTCGGTTGATAACGAGGGTTTTACATCCTTACACATTGCCTCAATAAAAAGGCATCTTGATGTTATTGAATGTCTAGTGAATGAAGGAGCTGATGTGAATAAAGCAACACAGAATGGTTATACACCACTGCATATTGCCTCACAAGAGGGTAATCTTGATGTTGTTGAATGTCTAGTGAATGAAGGAGCTGATTTGAATAAAGCAACACAGAATGGTTATACACCATTGCATATTGCCTCACAAGAGGGTCATCTTGATGTTGTTGAATGTCTAGTGAATGCAGGAGCTGATGTGAATAAAGCAACACATAATGGTTATACACCACTGCATATTGCCTCACAAGAGGGTAATCTTAATGCTGTTGAATGTCTAGTGAATGAAGGAGCTGATGTCAATAAAGCAACACAGAATGGTTATACACCCCTGCATATTGCCTCAGAAGAGGGTAATCTTGATGCTGCTGAATGTCTAGTGAATGAAGGAGCTGATGTGAATAAAGCAACACAGAATGGTTATACACCACTGTATATTGCCTCACAAGAGGGTCATCTTGATGTTGTTGAATGTCTAGTGAATGAAGGAGCTGATGTGAATAAAGCAACACAGAATGGTAATACACCACTGCATGTTGCCTCACAAGAGGGTAATCTTGATGTTGTTGAATGTCTAGTGAATGCAGGAGCTGATGTCAATAAAGCAGCAAAGGATAGCGTAGCATCTCTGGATAGGGCGTCATATACAGGTCATGTAGACATTGTAAAATACCTAATTTCTAAAGGAGCAAACCCGAATTCCGTTGATAATGATGGTATAACACCCCTCCACGTTGCCTCACAAGAGGGTCATCTTGATGTTGTTGAATGTCTAGTGAATGAGGGAGCTGATGTGAAGAAAGTAGCAAATAATGGTATGACAGTTCTCAATGTGGCGTTAGAAAGAGGTCGTGTAGACATAGTAAAATATCTAATTTCTCAAGGAGCGAACCCAAATTCGGTTGATAACGATGGTTATACACCCCTGTACACTGCCTCACAGGAGGGTCATCTTGATGTAGTTGAATGTCTAGTGAATTCAGGAGCTGATGTGAAAAAAGCAGCAAAGAATGGCGTGACATCTCTTCATGCGGCGTCATATACAGGTCATGGAGACATTGTAAAATATCTAATTAGTCAAGGAGCGAACCCGAATTCGGTTAATAACGATGGTGTTACACCAATGCATATTGCCTCACAAGAGGGTCATCTCGATGTTGTTAAATGTCTGGTGAATGCAGGGGCCGGTGTGAATAAATCAACAAAGAATGGCATGACATCTCTCCATGCGGCGTCATATACAGGTCATAGAGACATTGTTAAATATCTAATTTCTCAAGGGGCGAACCCGAATTCGGTTAATAACGATGATGTTACACCCATGCATATTGCCTCACAAGAGGGTCATCTCGATGTTGTTAAATGTCTGGTGAATGCAGGGGCCGATGTGAATAAATCAACAAAGAATGGCATGACATCTCTCCATGCGGCGCCATATACAGGTCATAGAGACATTGTTAAATATCTAATTTATCAAGGGGCGAACCCGAATTCGGTTAATAACGATGGTGTTACACCCATGCATATTGCCTCACAAGAGGGTCATCTTCGTGTTGTTGAATGTCTAGTTAATGCAGGAGGAGATGTAAACAAACCAGCAATTGATGGTGATCTACCACTTCATGCTGCCTCTCGTGGGGGCTACATTGACATTCTAAAATATCTCATTATAAAAGGAGGAGATATCGAGGCACGTAATAATTTCGGTTGGACAGTTTTTCATTTCGCAGCAGATAATGGTCACTTGGAATCGTTGGAATATTTCTTGAGAAACAACACTTGCGGTACATCTGGAAGTGGTCACAACGCTCTTGAAGTTGGAATTCAGGTACTGTTGCTCAATTCAAACAGCTTTGACGTAACAGTCGGTCGCTCAGTGCGGTGCATTGGCCAAAATTTAACAACCAATTGTTTTGTATGGTTTTATCACGTGTGCTTGGTCAGAGGGAAAACAATAGAAAAATAGGTATCCCGGGATGACTTACCCGGTTTCAGGCTTGTAGATACTCGAGTAAGGATTTAAAGCATGTTCGTGAAAAATGAAGTCCACAAATTGCGAAAAAAGTTGAATATTCATTTATTAAACCTCTTCAACACAATTTTATAACGTTAGAATTGAGTCCATGAGTGACTCAATAAGTTCAAATGAGACATAACTGTAGCCGCGGGCAACTACCCCCAGGACGTAACTGCGAGGTAATTGTCCCATGAATTATTGCCCTGGGTGTAGTTACCCTGTGTGTAATTGTTCTTTGGGGTAATTCACAGACGATCATTGTCCAGGGTCAGGGGGTAGTTGTCAGGGAATACCTGCAGTCTTATACATGTTTCAATAACAAGCCTGCGGTAGATTTTTTATTTTGATGTTAAAAGATTGGGAAGAGTGGAAAGAAGAATTATGAAAAAATCATGTAGTAAATAGCGTTTTGGTGTTAGTGTTAGAGATTTAGCATTTATCAGGAAATATGGAGTACATGAAAAGAATGAATAAGTTTCTTAAATTGGGTAGGAGAAGTGTAAATAAATTATTTTCACTTATTTTAGGCTTCAATATTTCATCGTTAAGGTGTAATTTTAACTTTAATATATCTGAAGCTTGAAATCTGGAAATAAGAGGGGCGCGTTTTTACCTTTCGAATCGATACAAACAATTGAAGACACCGTGCAAAACTTGGTGGCTAATTTCGGCCAGTTCGTCGAGCCGCGCCGCGACTCTACCGTTTAGTAAAAGCCATTCAAATATCAATATGTAAAAAAAAAAGTGAATGGCATACAAGCAAATGCAGTGGTGAATACATGATATAATTTTAAGAGATATGTCTAATATGTGATATGCTTAAATATTCTTTTAACCAAGGATGGACTCCACGTGGATTTTGAACCTACCAATTTATTCCTTTGAAAATGATCCAGCTCCTCTGGACGAATGTAAAAGACTAAAATAATAAAACGCCAAATCCAATACCGAAGAGGACATTATACAGTGTTCTAATTTGTTTGTATTCAGCACAGAATTTGGGATTCGGACTTGTTTAGGATCTCACAAGTGAGGTATCACTTTACTCAGCACAGAGCTTCTTAAATCTCATGTCCCCTAAATAACATTGATTTTTAGTAGTGCTGAAGATATGAGTAAAAGAAATATCTACATCGAATTCTTATGATAACATTTCAATCTTAATTGTCGAAAAAATATATTGAAACAAAATCCAAAGATATTATTTTATGACCAAAATGATCATACAAGTGGGTATGTATTCCATGTTCTCACTGCGTATGTCCTATGTAGGGCAAACTGTAATCATCGACGAAATTAGAGTAGGACTACATGTATCTTATGGTGGGCCGACTCAAAACTATAGGTAGTGTTCCGATATCATTTATCTTACAGACCTTAAAAGGAGTCACGCCACTTATGGCTGCCGCAAGAGGAGGACATTTGGACTGTGTACGTCTGCTGCTCGAAAACAATGCAGATATTGAGACAGTAGATGCAGAAGGATGGACATCCGTCCATTATGCTGCAGCAAGGTGAACTGTTTATATAACATGTTTCATGCTTTAATAGTACTTATAATTTTCTTCATGACTATATAACAAAATATGATTCAACTGTATTGTTGATTCATTCATTCAATAATGCATTCATAATTTGTATCATCACAGCAAACTAATATACCTTTTTTTTCCCTTTAAATGGTTTTATATCATTTTATTTCTTTAGATCCTATTTTATTGGTAGGTTTACTAGCAGTTGCATAGGACATTTAGATTTAAAAATGAACGAGACACAACCAAAAGTTCTGCAACAATTACATGTCGCCTTTTATTTAAAAAGAAAGGTAAATAGTTTGATTTGGGGGAAAAAACACGATGCGAAAATATTTTTGATGAGTAAATCTCAAAGAAAATATAATTCCCTTTGTAATCTTAAAAGTACGCTATTAGTAAATAAAGTAAAAAACGTTGACAGTGTTCATAAATACTTTGAACGTAGTTAGTAACAGAAAATATACATACATGCATGTTTTGCTATATTTTTTTCATGAAGTGGGAATGCAATAATGAAGAATCTACTGGATCGGAAAGCAGTTATGAGCACGAGACTTTCTAGAAGAGGCCAGTCACCAATAAGTATTGCACTAAGCTTTGGCAATGCTGATACTGCACGGGTTCTTCTTGATAAGGTACATGTACATGTAGCTGTAACTCATTCAGCTTATTATGTTAATTACTATGACATATTACCATCAGTACCACCATCACTAATACTTAACATTCTCCCACTACCTCTCCTATTCACAACTCATGAACAACAATAACCCCCTTAGTTTTGCTGTAAGGCCTCCTCATAGCACTCGGAAATAGTGTCTTCCTTTTTTATGATGGTATTAACAAGCCAATAGTACCTGTTTATTACCTTATCACGATAATGATCATGATCGTTTGTTCGTACGAAGAAAATCAAGGTGTATATTATTCAAATAGGAAGATCCTTCTTTAGCCAACTGATGGTCTCATCATCGAGCTCTTAAAGTCCAGAAGCACCTTGTGGGGGATTTGTAGATGGACAATAATCGATGACGTGATCCATAGTTTGGATCTTTCCACGGGCACAGTTTGGCGATACATCAGCTCCAAGTTAATAAAGGAAATATTGTGTACGGCCAACACCGGTTCTGAGTTCGCCACTTGGTTTTGCACAGGGTCCTTCAAATTGGTAGTAGAAGAATTCCACTGGTCTGACCAGCGTTTTGCTATCCAGATGGGTAAGGCAGAGGGAGGGGGCGGGTGGGAGAGGGTGGCTTCTCAAGCTGCAGCTCAGCAGCCTCAGTTGCAAAGTGGCTTCTAGGGAGACGTTGCCCTTCAAAGGCAGAGGGGGCAGGAGGAAGGCAGTTATCTCCGTCATGCTTTTGGGCCAGCTTAGTGTACTGCACATCTCGTCTGAGTTGTGCTGTGGCTCTATGCAGGCGCGACATACTCTGCAGGGGAGAAAGCACGAGCTAGAGAGGTGGTACGTGTGAAGGCTGGTAAAATCGGCTCCCCATCTGGTCCAAGCATGCTTTTTTTTAGGAGAGACACTCTGGCTTGGGTCTTTTGAGTTGTGGTTGGCATGCTTGTGGAAGGTGAGGACTTGATCAAGAGTGACACCTGGGTGTGGGGTCGAAATTCAGCCTAGTCCCATTTAGTGAGATATTCAACTCTTGGTTGGCGCATCGGTTTGCCAGATGGAAGACTGGGGGTATAGTCTTCGTCATGCTCATCTTGCGATGCCATAAGTTGAAGAACTCAGCTAGCATTGCCAGATCCTTCTCCAGTGATGTTTCGATTGCCTCGAAGGAGTGGTTATCAATCCCCAGTTCGGTGTCGTCTGCATAGGAATACGGCATGCATCCCCCCTTGAGCATACCAGAGATATAGATGTTGAACAGTATCGGAGCGAGAACAGAGCCTTGCGGCACACCATTGCGGAGTCTCCTCTTCCTAGTGCATTCGCCGTTTGATGTTTCAAGATCAATATGATATATTTGACAATCTTTACATTTGGGATAGTCTGCAGGGTCCTGAGGTTTAAGCCACGGTGCCATGCTGTGTCAAATGCCGCAGTAAGGTCGTCAAGAACTGCACCAAACTTCTGCTTCTTCCGGAAGGCCGTCTCTATTTCTTTTATAAGCCAGAACACTTGGTCGGTTGTTAAATTACCTTTCCTGAAACCTGACTGGGTAGTAGGTCGCTGTACCTCGACAGTGTCGACGTTTATGGCAAGTAACAGCCTTCCATGTAACTGGTATATGTGAGATAGCAGACTGATTGGAAGATAGCTGTTGGGTTCGTCTGCAGGCTTCTTGGGCATCAGAATGGCAATTACTTTAGCGGTCTCATGGTGTCATGCAGGTAGAGAGAAAGGCTGGTAGCCAGGAAGTAGCTTTGTGACTCAGGTTCTTGAGGAATTCTGTGCGTGAATGTTATCATTGCATAGTGCTTTGTCGGACTTGTTTGATTTAAGTGCAGTTTCAACCTCATCCAAGGTGAAGGCTTGAGACATTGGGGTTGAAGGAGTTGAGGAGTTTCTTTATCTTATAAATCACGAGAGTGGGTTTTGGCCTCAGTGGTTTTATCTTGCCACTTTCCATTGTTAACTAGGACTGAAGCGATGGAGTTTGAAGTATGGAGCACTGTTTCGACTAGTGAGCTTGTTGGTGGCAGTCCAGACCTTGAGACTAGAATAGGTAACGTTGATATCAGAGGCTTCTTCTTCCCATCTATTTTTCTTTTCTCCTAGTAATATCAGCAAGTCGTTCACTATAGCTCCTCTCTCTAAATGGTATTGGACTTAATAGTGTAGGATTCATCCAGACGGTCGCATTCTTCGTCCCAGCATGGAATGTACGGGTGTCATAAATGATAATGATAGTAATAAGAAACAACAGTGAATTATCTACCAAGTATCATCATTTTTATGTCTTGTCTTCCATATTATTAAAAGTGTTATCACATCAATATATATATATATATATACATATATATATATATATATATATATATATATATATAACCCTAAATGGTACATTAAGTGGACATCGTAAAAATCCTAACCCTAACCCTAACTCTAACTCTAAACCTAAAACCTAACCTTAAATCTAACTCTAACCCTAAACCTAACCCTAACCCTAATCATAACCCTAATGTCTACTTAATGACTCATTTTTTTCACTCCAAATGTCCCTCCAATGACGCCTTTAGTCAAATTACATATATAGAGAGAGATATAATTATAACAAAATTGGGCCTTCTATGAGAAATAAAACGTAAACAACGTTAAGAGGACACCAAATTGTCCTCATAAAGACAATGTCTACTTAATGACTAATTTTTTTACTCCAAATGACTCTCTAATGACGCCTTTAGTAAATATTTTAACACATGTGTGTATGTCTCAAATATGTATGTATAATACATACAGACATACATATATATGTATACAATTATTATATTGACGGAATCAAATTCATATTTTAACTCCGTCATTTATTTGTTTATTTGTGGTTCTTTTTTCTCACAGGATGCAACATCTATACATCACAGCGACAGTGCTGGTCTAACACCCATTCACCTTGCTACTGTAAGCGGGCTATCCTCAATCATTGAGGAGTTGGTATCACTAGGTGCTGATGTAAATCCTCAGTCACACGATGGCCAGACACCCTTACACTTTGCCATTAGACTATGCCGCTGTAAGAAAAGACAGGTTGAAGTGACCACAGCTTTGCAGCAGGTTACGTATTTCTTCTTTTTGTTTAGTTTCTTCTTATTTATTTATTTCTTTACAGAGACCTGTTAATCTTTCTAATGCGCACACATTTGGGTGTCCGTGCGTGTGTGTGTATGTATTATTTACCCATATAATAAACCGATTCGTTGAATATCTGACCATTCTGGATATGGTAAGAAGTTTAAGGACAAGGAGAAACTTGGTTATATGAAGATTATATATACATATATATATATATTTATATATATATATTCGTCGGTAAGTGTGCGAGTGTGTTTTGTTACTGTGTGGGTGTGTGTGTGTGTGTGTGTGTGTTAAGTTTTCCGTTTTTAAATCATAAACATTTACAAAGGCTTAGTATTAGAAAACATGCTTAAACTATCCGTTTGTTTTAGTTATGGATACTTTTTTCAATATTTTCACTGGCTCACAAGGTAATTTATTTGTGTATTTGTGTCGTACGTGTTCGTAGATGTGTGGGCGAAGCCATCGAATGCCGAACACGTAAAATGGAATGACGATTGGACGAACACATGCTCATTTATTAAAATGGACATGTAGATTTATTTTCATTATTATTATTATTATCATTGTCATTATTATCATTATTACTACTATAACTATTATTGTTATTGCTATTATTGTTATTATTATTATTAATAGTATGGTCATTAGATAAATAGAAATAGTAATCCTAGTATAGTCGTTACTGTTTAATCATCATTGTCATTGTCATCATCATTTTAAGTTAGAAGTAGAAACTGCCATGCGAAAAGATTGTTGCAAGTATAATACAAATAATCTTATTCTCTGTAATCGAAAATGTAGAAAACGAGTAGGAGTGTAATGAAAACACTTAGTTTGGACATTCTGTATTTGCTTTTAGGTTTGTTTCACTATAATCTAGTTCATGCAGTTAAGAAATCATACGTCCTTACACTTTTCATGCATAAACGAAATAGATACAACAAGAGAGTGATGATGACTTATCCCCCGCGGAGGCTTTGATACAATTCCTTATAAATCAAGGATCCAAGGTCGACATCAAGGATAACGAAGGTTTTACCCCGGTACAGTATGCCAGAGATGAGCGCGTTAGACAAATGGTATTACGGAGGTGAGAACATTATAAAGATAATATAACCAGGCTCCGTAGAATACGATTCTGCTTAACATTTGTCCAAAATATATACATAATCTAAGAATCTGATACAATGCAAGAAATTTGACTACTTAATTTATGTACAATATTCCTTCAATAATTGTATGCGGGCCCAGCTGATTTTTTCATATGATTTGTCTATTTCCTAATTTTGTTTGCTGCAAACTTCAGTCCTTAAAGGCAATAATTCTTATCACGTATCATATGATTGCATTGAAGACCTTATAATAAACACAATGTTGATACAACACTGTCATATAAAACAAGATATTCTATGACGTAAAACAATGATGCATGATGAGTAATACTTCCCAATTTGATAGACTCGTACTACCTACTCCTTTTTTTTTGTTCTTTCGGCAGGTTATCCCAAGATGATGTCCATGTATTTCGCGGTAGGTATTTCATTTGATTTTCAGTGACTTCACTTCACCCTAAGATTTCATAAAAATCCACTGTTTTCCCCTATCTGATTAACTTGCCCTTTTGTTCGTATCGTATGAAAAAAATGTAGATCTACCGATTGCAAGATCTACTGAGATTAATCGTACCATTGGCTGTGAAGGAGGAATTTTACATTTAGACAGCTGTGACGTCACAATGTCGATTCCACCAAGGACAGTCCAGCCTGGCTCTTGACACGATGTATCTATAGCTCTAGTTACTGATGATCCCCCACCTATCCGAGAGAGAGAGTTTCTTACAGGCCATGGCATTGGCATCACATTCCCTGCACAGTGGCGTTATTCCACATGTAAGCCTGTGACATTGACTATGCCGCATGCTGCAACCATGGTAAAGTCATCAGTTGTTCAAACTGACATTATCTGGAAGCACACTGAAACAGCCTCAGGTTAGTTGTCAATATGAGGATGCAAGGGAGTTATAAACGCAACATCATTTTTCTTTCAGGACTTGCCACGTTACATTCAAGTGGCTTTCTTACTTACTTGCGCAGTGAGAGTGTTTACGTTATCACCTCTTGTTAAAATGTGCCATAATTTTAAAAATAATTTTTGCATGCATTCCTCACTCATCTATTTATATATTTTTTTCATCAAAATAATGTACGTTTTTTATGATCAATTCTTCATATCATTAATAGCTTAACATACGCAACGTTGTTAGCGAAGCATTTAGTTACATATTGAAGAATGTTTAAAGTCCTCACATTAATCATGGTCACACAAAAGATGAAAACATATTTGTATTTGAATTGTTTTCTTTTCAATATGCAACTGTTTACAGTTCACCGTGAACGGTTCCCTGATGATTGCTGTACGCAATGTATCCTTAAGAAAAGGGACATGAAGCTCACCATAGATGCCTCGTTTGTAATTCAGGACAATGTACAGCTTTGGATACCGATAAAGCTTCATAATCATGCTCTTGGTAAACGAATGATGTGCACCCCTTTCCTTCCCATTGACATGGCACGGGGGGAAGACATCACACTCAGGATGTACATACATGAAGATATACCTTACATTGTTCAGGTAATTTATAGATATATATATATATATGCTGCGTATACGGAGAACAATTTTGAAGTTTTGGACGTAGGGCTTTGTCAAGTAATGGTTGTTGTGGCTTTGAACATTATTTTTGTTATGCGCCAAAATATGGCATCACATCCCAATATAATTTATCCAGGTACGAAGCATCATTTTTGTATTTTTGTGTGTTAGCTCGAATTCCGAACAGAACTCTAGACTTTCTTATTTATATAAATTATTATCAGTGTAAAATAAAAATGGTAAACAGTTCTATTGTTCTTTTTCACGTGCAATTTATTTCATGTGTAGCATTTCTTAACAATTATGATTGAAATTACCTTGTTCATGGTAAGAAAATTACATATTCCATTTCCATTCAAAATTCCTTTGATTACATGCATGATGCATTGTGAAATAAAATCTGCAAAGCTAAAGAAAGACACTCTTTTAACATGTGAACAGTGTTTCCGATTCATGCAATATTTTGCTTGAGAACGGGGAAAGATACTCCTTAGAAATGTTCATTAAATGCAACGCACTTTCAAAAGCGTTGAAAGTGAAGTGGTCATCACTATTTCTATAATTCCAATCACTACATTTATACGACCGGTTGTCACTGTTTTGTGTATGTTCTTAATATAAAACAGAAAATTCAGGAAGAAGAGGAAATTCTGCTATACCATCAGGTACATCCTGGGAGATGTTTTGGTCTTGAACCTGCGTCAAGTGATCTAAAGCTGGAATGCAATGGGAAAAGAAGGGTGAGAATTATTATTATTCTTGTTAGGTTTGAATGTCTGTGCATTCTATTAAAAAAAGATGTGCTTGATACATGGCATGAGATGCAAAACGATTTTCTTCGTCAAATTGTAAACGGTCTGCTAAAAATAGTATAATAGAATGAAATATCATATAGGGTATGTGTAGGGAATTGGAGACCACCAAGCTTGAACCCATCACTGTCTGTCCGTGTTGGCTTCAATATTGCTATAGAGCCATCTGTGGCCTTTGACAACACTACTGGATATAATCCAATTCATTTCGAAGACTAAAATGCGTTCTTCCTCCGAGAAAATTGGCAAAATTGACCAAAGTAAACAATTTTGATCGTAAAATTTTGCTCTGCTATAAAAACACAATTTTCACTGAATGTTGTGGTGTATGCAGATACTTAGAGTTGGCTCTTAAAAAGTAGTTTTAAAAGGAAGTTTATGAAATGTGCCAACCATCACAGAAAACTGATGCCCATTGTGTGTTGTGAATTAGTGTTGCAATGCACATTATGAATGGTGTCTGATCAGAAATGTGTGCAGGCAATAGGGGACACCAGGTCCAAGATGGGGGCCGTTTGTTGTGAATGTCGGGTATGCCGAGGACAGTCAATGACCCGATGCTGGTTTGTTTATAAAAAATGTAAAGACATATTTTGGGCCACATTAGATTGATTTATTTCTGTTTGATTTTCTTTTTCTTTTGCATTTTTACAAATATATAACAAATAAAACATTGCAAATTGTACACATTTCAAAAGAATGTAATGTCGGATAAAGTAACTAATCGAAAACATCAAACAGGAGGGTTGACAAAGTAAGCAAAGCTTAATAGCATGAATACCCTCAATAGATACATAATAATACGAATATGGTGGAACAAATATTGGTAAAAGGGAAAGAAAGAGAGAGAGAGAGAAGAAAAAGAAAGAGGGGTGTACATCAAGATTCACAGATGTATGTGGTACAATGTAGTTGGATTTCAATTTGATATATGCAGATAAAAAAAGGAGATGCACATTTGAATATTGGGTGGCCAACTTAGAATGTATTATAGAATGAGAAGACTCACGAGGTTTCTGGACAATATAAATAAAAATGTGAGATCAGCGAGCTGGTTTATATAGACTGTAAACCTTTGTTTGTATACATAACAGGTTTTGGGAGTATCCCAAGTAGGCCACATTGTTTTTAAATCGTTTCAAAATTACAGTACATTCATTGGCTGCATGTACATGTCTCTTTCAAAAAGTGTTTGAACTAACTATAACAAGCCCATTTTCATTCAAATTGTACTTAAAATGTCTAGATTTGTAGCTGTCCCTTATTACCTACACATGTAGGTAATGAGAGACCTTTGGTGATGGCGTCATTAATCATTGTTATCTTATTGATCAGTTACATCATGACCACAATCTTGTTACCAAATAAAGAGAAGAAGCTAGTGAAGAGAATATAAAACTTTCTGTATGTGTAACGTCTTTCATGTTTATGTAAATTATGCAAATGTGCTCAAGGGTCTCCGATTCCCTACACCTACCCTAGATAGGATATACCTCTAATTTGGGCGTTGTGGCTGTGTGTAATAACAATTTATGTATATATACACTGTCGCTCATATAGTTGGAATTTTGTTTTACCCAAATTTATGGAATTATTTCGACAATGATTTATTCTTAATAGATTTAGATAATAGTATACATTCTCAGATTTTATTGAATAATAATTTGCCAGTGTTTGATTTGCGTGATTACTAAAGCATGTGCATGCTACTATGCTTATCAATTAGGGGACTTACACCCTTAAGTCATAAATGACAGTAATGGCGATTAACGCCCCACAAAAGGGCACTTATAAGCACATCGACACGGTTTTGATCCTGCGGCCTCACAGTCACGAGGCCATTGCTTTGTTACTGAACCATGACTGTCCGCAGCGGGGGCTAGTTCCCACAAATAAAAAAAGAAAAGAAAATGCAATAAATCATCAATAATTCATTGAATCCCCCCCCCCTGTCCCCAACAGAAAAAATATCCTTCTGTGTGCCCATGCCTTGAGCCATAATGTATTACTTATAATGTATATTACTTGAAAATCATTCAAAAAAACTCCTGACCCTAAACCTAACCCTAAACCCTTAACCCTAACCTTAAATCTTGCATGTAGGATTATTGTCCTCCTAATGGCAATGTCTATTTCACGACTCACTGTTTCACCCCCATGGCCCGTCTGATGACGCCTTAAATCCGTCCAGAGCTTTAACGTTGTCCCAATGCTGTTGGGAGAAATAACTACTAAATATTGTCAATATCATATTTGATCAGATCTTCTCTGCGAAAGATATATTCAACCGGCAGGAGACACTAGTTTCGATGCCCATCAATACGGAAACCAATGCGAACACCCAAATGATTAACATCTCGATTTCAGCAACAAGTAACAACCAACCAAAAACTAGCATTGCGTTTGTGGCCATACGTACTGGTTTGTTAATTTTCTTATTCCCCTTCTCCTAATATCCTCCTTCTTCTGCTCCTCCTCTTTCTCCCTATGCTTCTTCTTTAGCTACTTTTTGTATTATCTACTTTTACTCTTACCTCATCTAGTTCTAATTATTCTCCTATCCTCCTACTTCTCTTTCTTTCCAAAAGATATTAAAAAAAATCATATATCGTGTAAACTTGTCGCAATTTTATAATATTCATGAAATCGAGGATCACTGCATATTTTTCATCATGTTTATATTCTAAGATATCCCGAGTTCTGAATTTGACGGAACCTATACTTGAGAGATTTTAAAGTAGGAACAACGTGTAGATTGCAAGATACCGGCAAGAACACAAAATTAAATAGGTCCGTGTATGTTATGTCATTGCTTTAATTTCTTTACGCAATTATCATCCCCATAATTATGCAGTACGTTGAATCAAAATTACTCTCGTTCCAATGAGATAAGCGGGTTCACTAAACAATTTCATCATTTTTCTCCAAGGATTCTCCGCCGACATACATTCAGCCCTAGATGAGATGGTCCCTGGATCAAATGTTGACCTCCGGTAAAATTACATTTGTACACGATCAATATCATGTATTAATCCTTGGTACTATATAATATTATTACTATGCTTTTTACCTTGCGTGGTTTGCTCTAAAACATTGATATTATTATTATTATTATAATTATTCAAATAATACTTTAACAAAATGGACAAATTATAATTTCGATTGAGTCAGGTTAAAAATATGAACTTCATTACACAAAATAGATTACTGTGTTTATCAAAGAGCTAGTGGAGTAAAATATGGAAGATATGAAAGTCTGACTAAGAATAAGATTGAATGAAATACTAACAAGTTTTGTCGTCAAGGATACAAATTTAGCAGTGGATCAAGAACCAACACTTAGTTCATTCAAAATGATTCAGACTTTTCATCTTCATATGAACACCACCAGTGAAAACATCTCGCCGAATACCATTTTTAAATGATTGCATCCCTTATCGGGCGATCAAGTCGACCAATGACACCGAAACCCTCCGATCCGATCTGAATAGGCTACCTACCTGGGCTGACAGTTGAAATGATTAAGTGACACATAAAATCGAACATTGCGAAGGGCTCCAAATGTTCCTCGAGTTTTAAGGAAGAGGTGAATTAACCTTCGTAGCGTAGCATGTGGGATTCTTAGTTAAGCGAGGGCATCAACAAACCAGAGGGCGTTCAGAAGAGAGGGGCCAAGCTGTTCACGAACAAATAAATGCGGAATAGACATCCATGTATCACACCTGAAAGTAAACTTAATTGGCAACGACTTAAAAAACGACCACTTGTGGCTAGGCATTCACTCTTCTTTAAAGCCATTCATGACCAAATCGCCATACTCAAAACTGGACTTCATTACACAACCTCAGAATATCCTGAAGGGACACCACATTATCTCCTCCAACATCAGATATTAATAATGATCACCCCCCCCCCCTCCCCAAGAACCATTTTGGCCTCGAATTTACTTCCTCCTGAAGTGTAAATTTCCAAGTCAGAAAAAAACTTCCAGACCCGGGAATGCAATAAAAAGTGAAAATATGATCATTTATTTCTGGACCATGTTCATATAATTTCAAAATGATGTGATTATGATTGATTATGTATGAAATACAGACTCTCGAATGCTAACGCTTTCATTAGTCAACAATATATGGCTTCGAGGATCATGAGCAGGAATAGAACAGACTCAGAGTTAGATAACGGCGGTAGTATCTCTTTATTGAGATCTGGCTGGGATACTTGGTCATGACATTATGTTGCTTTAGTATTCAATAAAATAATGGCATTCTTTTTTTCTCACTCTATCTTCTCCCATTCCATTTCCATTTGTAGCAACGCCGAAGACTTTCCGAGTGAAGAATTCATCACAAAAGAGATTAACACTGATAAGTACTACCATCTTGGTCTAGCATTGGGTTTGTCCTACCAGACACTTGACAGCATCCAGTTCAGAAGCAGACAACATGAGGAGGCTGGGGTTTATACCCCAAATCAAAAGGCTGTTATCTGTATGATCCGCTATTGGAAATGCTTGCAACATTCCGTCTCCCTAGAAGACGATCATCTAAGAGAAGTGTGGAAATCCGTGAGCGATTCAGGAGATTCAGCCCCGGTTTTGAAACAACGACAAGGTGCGGGTAAGAACGCACTAAATATTGAAAACCATTTATAATCATTCTACAACAGACCAGGGGATATAAAGAACTTATTTTTTTACAAAATAAGGAATCGTGCAATCCAATTTATGCTTCGAATTTTATTGATCAATAAAGTCTTTATATTTCACCTTCTCTCCAAAGAAAAGCAACATGACACAAATGTGGAAGAAGTCTTCGAAGGAGAATCCCCTCGTAAAGAACTAAGGACCACACCGACAGTAGGCCTACATGATTTGGAGGTAAGTGTTTCCAAGCGGTATGTATGTGTCGTTAATATTTCCATAGATTTAGCATGTATTTCCAAACCAGGGTCCCGTTGAATGAAACTGACCAATGATGATACCGTTGCCACTTATTCCACTTAATCCTGTGCTACACTTGTTACGCCTAGGTCACATATAAACCGGGCCCCGTGCGATTTTTCCTACCCGGCGGCTTGCCGTGGATTTAGAGACCGTACGGGAACCTTCCGATTTTCATTTCTACGACATGTGTGGTCACATATTCTGCGGCGCCCGGGAGGTGCCCGGTGAAAGTTGGTGGAGTGAAATGCAAGGCGCCCGTAAGGGTGCTGGCTGGTAAGCTTACGGGCTTAGTCCGATGAGCAGGTCCACCAATGGCTCCCGGAAGGTGCCCTACCGGGGTCCTCAAGGCGCCCGGCCGGATGCCGTGCGGTGCACTGAACTATGTGTCCTCTTGCATCCGTATCTCCTGTATTTAAAGCTGAGTTGTACATTTTGAGATGCCACCGTAAGGGACCCGCACGGGCAATATTATTTTAAATGGCCCCCGGACGGCAGACGCCCGGTGTTGTACATATCACCCGGGGCTCTCGAGGGACCGTGAGGGAGCCGTAGGGTACACGTACGGAATACTTGAACACCGCAAGGCACCCGCAAAGATTTCTCATGAGAATTGACCCCAACTAATCGTGATGGGCCTAACGGTCAGATAAAAACGCCGGGAGTATTGGGAGCAGCCAACTCTGCACCACGGCGCCCGTACGGCTTAAAAAACTGTCCCGGCGCCCGTAGGAACTTTACGGTAGCCGACTGGACACCGCCGAAAATTTCCAAAATGTCTGTTTTTACTCGCCGTACGGGCCCCGGAGTGTATATGTGAAAGCCCCATAAGCATGAAGACAATCTTTCGACGCTTTCTGCATCTTAAAGCCTTAACCTTACAATAAAATGTTCTCTCGATTTAGCTAAGAGCCTTGATGATTCGTTGATAGAATATTTACATCTATACAAAATACTATTCACTGACTTTAAAGAATAAAATCTATGGAGCACTGTGATCTCTGAAAATGTTTTTTTTTGAGACCGATACAAAATAAAATGTCAATGAAAATTAATATTACTACCATGTATGTGATCAAATATTAGTATGAGTCAAATACGGCTACAGCCCTTTAGAACGCGAGTCCATGGGGCCGACTACAAAAATATGTCGGTTTCATGGAGCTTAGGCTTTTCTAAGGTTTTTGTGTTTTCGGTCTCATAGGATGTTGGTTTAATATGAACTGATTAGGATAAGTCAAAGTAGATTTTCGAGATCTTAATTGATTTCCCAAAAGAAATTCAATCTTGCTCTTTAATGAGTAAATCCCAAACGACTACGCTGGACATAATAAGAAATGAGCTCTTAGTCACTGACGGTAATTTAATATTATCCTATTTCGCTTAAACTGACACGAAGATGTGGATCTGGGTATATACACTGTATACAAATAGTGTATGAAGTCGATGCTATAATCATTAATCAGGCACGTAGTCAGGGGGGGGGGCACGTGCCCCTCAAAATTTCCAAGATAGGTTGAACTTTTTTAGACCCCCCTTTTTTTTTTTACCTCGATCGATTACATGTATGTGCTCCCCCAAACATCAAACTCTGGCTACGGGCCTGGTTCTAATAAGCAACATGGATACTCTTTAAATTACTTCGACACACATAATCTGTCCAAAATAACATGGAAACTGTCTGTGTATATTTTACTGGGGGGCAGCAACGAGAGCGTCATTTACTTTACTATAAATCCTTATTTCAGCTGAAGGGCTCTAGCTCCTCCGTGCTATCACCCAAAGCGAGTTCAAATGGCAGACGGAGAACAAATATTTGATGGATAATTACTCTGATGTCACAGAAATTTCAAACAACCTCCCCATATCTCTCTCTCTCTCTATCTTTCTCCATTTTTCTCCCTCTCCCTCACAAAAAAAAAATCGCTCTGACTTTTAGAAGACTTTAGCGAGACAATGTGAAGTGCTTTTGACGAATAAAACTGCCAGACTTTTTCCCATAGAGATATAAATATTATTGTCTTTTGTATCACTTTTTGTTCGTTTTGCTGTAATCCAGTTGAATATGCCTTTTTGGCAACTGACGATGAATTTGTTTTCCCCTCCAAAGATTTCAGAAGCAAGGGGGCACTGGGAAGACAGGCTTCATCATAAGCGAACTAACCCTCCTAGTGTCAGAAGCGACTCCTTAAGCAGGTATAAAATGATTTTGAAACGCGTTTCAATGGGTATTATTAATTTATAGTGTCTATCAGTTACATAAGAACCAAAATGGCGTTATATCCTTTTGCCGAAGGATAGTGTTTTTACCTCACATAATTAATAGATTAAACGCATTTTGAGGGGAAATTATTACAGATCCATTCTGGATCTGTAATCTTGATTTGGCGTTAATTGTGATGATTGTGATAAACTCCTTCTCTCTATGATACGATACTAAAAACCAAATACGTTCAGACAAGAAGTCATGAGTAATTATGATTGCCGGGCCTTAGGAAGGACAGCGTTGTGGTAGTTTAGGCTCCCATTGGGATACAAACGTTTTAATCATAATCAATTCTATTGTTATCAATTTTGCTATTATTAGGAATAGTATTCTTTGTGATGTTCTCATTTTTATATTCATCGTACAGTTTCAGCACTGTGCTAGAGGAGGAGGAGGGTCGCTTTCCGCGACATTGTAAGTTGCCCTGTCTTGTACTTAATTTCTTGTAATATTTGAATAACGGGTGCAATATACCCTATTCGTTTATTAAAACTTAAGTCATTATAAGCAAATGAATGTGTTCCTGAATAACATCATGTGAGCATGCTCATTTGGCTTTCACAAGAAATAGCACTGTTCAAACGTAGTTTTTGAGTTAATTAGAAGGTTCTTAATAAATAGATCAGTATGTAAATATATCTGTTTATAATAATGCTTATTCGCGTAAAGTGACCGTCTCATTTTCTACATTTTCTACATACGTAACAGAGTTGAATTTATTTCAATTGAATCGATTGAATTTGCACACGTCCACAAACAAAACACTATACATTATATACATTATAACTATTCAACAAATTAATGATATAATAACAACTTGGAAGAAATAAATCAACAAGAACAAAAGCAGAAAAAGTGAAAAACATTTACCTACAAAAAAAAATAATGTCAATGAGGGGTGTTACAAAAAACTTAACCCAATTCATTATTGGAAAAGAAGACAAAAAGCAAATTTATAAATTATTATTACATATAAATTGAGGTAAACCAATTAACGGAGGTATTACCAATTTGTAGAAGGTAATTTTTTCGTTTGAATTTGAATACATTTAGGGATCTATGATTGTTAATATTTTAAAGTAAATTATTCCAGAATACAAGGCCATTTTAGATAGTGATTTCCCCCATATAATACAATAGTTAGATTTCCCTCTGGTATTAAAATTGTGAATGTCAGAATTTTGTATAAACAACGAGTGAAAATTAAATGGTAATAGTTTTGTATAATATAAATACGTAAGAAATACCAGGAATATAATCGTATAGTTCGTATATTGGCAAAATATTGAATTTTTTAAATAGAGGGGCAGTATGTGTTCTGAAATCAGAATAAAATATCATACTAATTAGTCTTCTCTGTAAGATACCTAAAACTGAAACTTACCTAAAACTTTGTACTAATAAATATATATTTGTATTATCGGCAAAATTGTCGAACAAAGAAGGATATCATCAATATATTTTAAAAGAGATCTTTTAGGGATTCCACTGTACACTGTTTAAATTTAGATTTTCAAGAATTAACACTGCTTTCGATTGTTTATATAACTACTCAGTATATTTAGTAAAATACCGCGTATTCCATGAAATAGATAACTTACTAAGTAAAATATCATGGTTGATACAATCAAGTGTTTTTTTAAGGTCGATAAATACTCCAAAAAGTATTTGACTGTTCTCATATGCATTTATTGTATCAGTTGATGAACCGATCAAGGCATTTCATGTGCAATGTTTTCTCTAAATCCATTTTTAGATAATACAAAATACGGTTAAGATAATCAACCTCCTATAAACATAACACGATTCTCGAGAATTGTTGTGTTTTTTAAATATATTTTTCATATTATCTGTTATTCATACGGTACGTTCGTTTAAACGGACTTGGTAACATTGTTTAGAGGAGCCAAAATGGTGCTAAGATAGTGACTTTAATGTTTGATGTACGATTACAGATAATCTGAAAGTTTGAGTGAAAACAGACCATTATTAATGATATAAATTGGGAAGAAGACATTTAAGTGTTGAAAGGAATTTTAAAGCCTGTCTTATGTTTTATTTTCGTAAAAAATCGGTTGGGAAAATTCAAAAATGGATGCCGGGAGAATTTTAACTGTTAGAGGGTGTCGCACATTGACACCTTCAAAGAAAACCATGAATATCATTGTGTTTTGAGAATGTTTTCAGGATTGTTTGCATGTTAAAGGGTTAGTACAGTAATTTGAATATAATATGTAACATTTCATACCAAATTACCCAGTTTGTTAATCAACCTTTAACAATGTGACCGAGTCATTTTAAGTATATCATTTAACCATAAATTTTTCTCTGTACGAGTTTTAAACTCTTTTACAGGAAAACATCTATCGTATATTTCAAGAATAATTTTCATGAAATCATCATATAAAAGTTTGGGGTCGCTGTTACTATCATATATTAAACAAGAAAAGTTGAGTTCAGATAGGTTTTGTAATAAACTCAATAATACCGTCTTCAGTGATTTTTGTAATGAATAATCAAAAACAGACAAGATTGGATAATGATCTGAGACATCACAAATTATAGAGCCATAAAGTAGATCACATGAAATATTTACACAAAGATTATAAATTAAAGTTGCCGTTTTTCGTCTAATTCTAGTCGGTAGACTAATAAAAGTTAGACAAGAAATGTAGACATTATTTCATGAAATTAATCTATATAATTCAAATGATTAGCTTTTTTAATGACAATATTGTAATCATCCAAAAATAAACATTGTTTGTGTTCTTCATTAATTTTTGTAAAGATATTTGTAAGAACAATAGTGAATAAAATAATATAATTTTTAGGGGGCCTATAATTATGATTAAGATTGCATCTGTTTGTAAAATTAATGTATTTGTTATACCAAATCTAGTTCCACTATCTTGTTCTCTATTACGACTGAAACTAACGTATCTATAATCATTAAAAATATTTCTGGAGACATGTTATTTCTTATCCAGGTTTCAGACAGGGCAATATTATTATAAGTATGTAGAAATGACTTTTAAAAAGTTTAAATTCCATTCCTTCAAAATTCTGAATATTTAGGTGGATAACAGAAAATTGTGGTAAGAAAATAAAGCAAATTTGTCGCTGAGCTCTCTTTAAGAGTTAAGTGACATTAGTCATTCATCATTTTGAAGAAACAAAATACAATATTGCAAGAAGAGTACGACTGTTTTGATTATATTCTGGTTATCTAAAGTAGGATACATATTCCAAACACAACCAGTTTCATTAAGATGAAACAAAAATAGGTTAGTTAAGTAGAAGATTAAATGAAAGAGGTACAAACACAAAAACAAAAATAAATTTAAAACAAATTACATCTTAAAGGGTCCCAAACAAAAATCTAACTACAATTAAAGTCCAGGTAAGTTAAATCACATAAATGAATGACGCGTGAGAATACCAGGAACCATACGTTAGGATAATTCAGGTTATGTATTATAGTTCATTGTATATTATAATTTGTAAAGTAAGAGTTATCTTCTCATCTAGATTTGGGCAAGTTCTTCAAGCCACTTTCATTCGAGATGAGTTTCGACAATTTCTTCCGATGTGATGCTTCGATAAGTGCAATGACTTTACCGCCCGTTGCCTATGTCCGTTCTGCATCCTCACAACTGAGAATAGACGAGCATCGTAAAGATGAAGGTATGCATTCCCTGTTTTTCTCATATTTTTTGTTTTGGCAAGTAAAGAAATGGATCAGTAATTGAATCATATTTACATGTTCGTTTTATACAGTGTTAATGAAACGGCGATAAAACAAATAATAATGTAATGTCAAACATTGTCTTCTACTCAGTATTGTTTATTCGTATTGTAACATCTCCAATACTAGTAGTGTACCGACAATTATTTACAGAAGTAGAGCATTCCAAGCAAGCAGTTTTGGAATGGATGAAATCTGGAGAAGGAGTAAAGACGGCGGATGTCAGACCACACGAGTACACTACACAACCTACAGATGAGGAGGGACAGATAATAGAGTCCGCTCACCATATGTCTCCACCGAGCGCCCACCAGGATGAAATTCCAATTGAAAATCTTGAAAGCAGGGAAGATTTGAGTGACGGTACTGTCATGATTCGGCTTGAGAAGCATGGTATTGAAGTAAGAATCCCACCAAACGAAGCTTACAGAGCAAAGGATGTCATCGTCGAACCAATCCATGACATTCCACCTGAGTTGGTGCTGAAGGAAACGGAAGCCATCATTTCCGTCGGCTTGAGGATGTCGCCCTCCGATGCAACCTTTGACATTCCAGTGACAGTAACGATGCCCCATTGTGGTATATTCACAAAGCCAGAGACTGCGAAAGTCGTCACTTATTATCGCAAGAGTGGTAAAGTCTTCTCATCCTCTGTCCCATTTACATTGCTTTTCATATAAAAGTAATAGATCTAATCATGGAAGATAATTACACAGGTATTAAACGTACATTATAATTGTTCTTTTTACACTCTAACACATAAAGTTATATTGTTTTGTTTTTGGCAAAAGAGTTAGAAATTCCGTTAATGATCACTGATTAGAGGTTAATATACACGGACGTATTTAGTGATTATAAGTATTATAATACCTCTTCGTGAACTTACATGTTTTGACATGCAAGTTTATGATTGTATCAAATGATAGTTGTGACAAAGGTTTCGGTTAAACATTTACTATATATCTTTGTTATTACTTGCATAAATAGCTTCGGAAAGTTTTACGGCTCTTCTTTCTACCGGCGGGAGCCCGCAATGTGTTGTAAGGCATCGCGACCTAGATATCTACATGAACCACTTCTCCGAAATTTGGATAGTAGCTATCATCAGAAGGACATTCATTGGAAAACGTGTTATTTGTACACCATATATTCCTGTGTCAGCTCCGAAGAATGATGAACACGTGTTGTTTGTCCACGTAAAAGATGAAAACATTGGAAAAGGAGAGGTTAGTGTTTTTTCTCGTCTTTCCTTCTTCTTGTTCTTCTCTTTTTCTGTTGATGGTCTTTATCGTCATCTTCCTTATTTGCATTTATAGTACCAATATAATATTCAGGTACGATCGTCAACATTCATCAAGTTTAAAAGTAAACGGATTACATAGACGTGTCGTGATATAGTGGTCCATTCCCTTGACTCTCAATACTAGCGTTTGTCGATTCGAATCCCAGCCAGGTACTGATGTCTATTGGCAAGACATTAATCCACATTTTCCACGCTCCACCCAGGTGTAAATGGGTACCTAGAAATCATGAGGTAATACTAATTGCAGGGCCCGCATCAAGATAAGCATTAATACTGAATGTGCTTACCTTGGGTTAATAAGACCAAATTATCATCCTGATCTTTTGAATTCTAAACTTCGGTAGATCTAAGTTATATATTTGCATTTGTTTCTTGTTCCCTTTCCGTCTTTCTTGTTTTCTTTTCTCTCGCTATCTCTTCTTCTATAACTTACAGTTTATACTGTATCGAGTGGAAGTGCATTTGAACTTGAACCTTAACTACCTATTGCTTTTTCTTTACATAATTATTTTGTAGGTGCAGCCTGGATACATGGCTCCGATCACGGGAGAGCAATTCTTAGTGAGGTGGCGTTCTGGAGCGTTAAAGATTACTTGCCCAGAGAGCACTATGAAAGACAAGGCCATGGTAACAATCAAACGATCAATTTCAATCAGCCTGCTTAAAGTGTTCTTATATTCAGTTGATGAGCTGGAAAAATGCCTCCTCCGCATTTAGGCATACATGTACATAATAAGTTTTGTTTAATTATAAAATTGGATGATGCTTTTTGTGCAAAATTAGTTGAGCATCTTATTGATTGACCACCAAAATGTAGCTAATAATTTTGCAATTGAGAGTCGCGCAATTTATGATTGGTTAATTTCTGTTTGGCTATTTTAGTTGACGAACCACTTAGTATTCAATTTTTTTAACATAAAATACAGTCGACAAAATGGTGCCTACTTTGGGTACTTTTTGTTTAAGAATGGAAAGTTCAATGTATTGGAGAAGATCTACAATATAGTTAATATATTCAATGGCTTTCGGACCGTTTTCATCCTGTACCCTTATTTTGGGGGAGGGATCTAAGAACAGTTCAAATTTACTTTCCGAGGTAGCTAGGATAGAGATAAAGAGAGTCAGCATGTGGGACATTCAAAGACTTCAAATACAATCGTAATCCATTAGGAAGACGGTTTTTTTCTTTCTTTTGATACGGATGGACCAATTCTAGTGAAAAAGTAATAAAAAGGAATGACAAACTTAACGGTTCTGTAACGGTGTTCGCAATATGATCTAAAGACAGAATTACCTTTTTTTGGTGAAGTAATAAATTGTTTGTCACGTGCCATTCATATTGTATTTATTGAGTAAAACTTTGTTATGTGAATATTGCGAATTTGCTGATGATGAATCTGTTAGTAAATTAAGATTTCTATTTTGTGGACTAAATTAATACATTTTGTCTTACTGCTAACGTACACTCTGTAAAGTTTATTTTTAAGTCTTGAATATAAATAGATACAAATATCTATATATCTATGTATGTATACATATATATATATTTATATAAGCACACACACAAATACATATATGTGATTATTTGTAGACTCTACGGGGAAGTGAGATTCGCCATCTGACTCAGCAAAAAGTGATGTTCAAAGTGGATACACGAACAGCTGACAAGAATAAAGTGATATTACAGTTCATCTTGAAACAAAGCACAACAAAACAGCTCCTAGTTCCCATGCACTTAGAAGGTAATATATTGATTGTCTACGGGGGAGGGGGAGAGGGATGGTTCACCTTGTGGGTAATTTTCTTGGGGAGGGGCGGGGGGGGGGGGGTTAATTTTCCCGCTGTTAATTGACCGGGGGTGATTGTCCAGGAGGGGGGGGGGGGGGTAATTGTGACATTAATCAATTACCAAAATATTATTATTTGTGTAATTAAATTGTATTAAATTTCTAATTAACCATGATTATACAAGCAATAACATGAACATAATGAATGTACATTTTTACAAAGTTAACGCAATTCCCTTCTCTTGCAATCAGAAATAACCGCATCGCCAAGACCGTCGGCATCCACATCAGTCAACGATCCTCCTCAAGATGCATCAGCAGAAGTCGATGAAGTTTCTATATCTAGAGCTAGGTTAGAATGGCTAAATAGTCGTTTTTTAATCATTTTCAGCAAGTGCATATTTATGGGATAGGGCAACATTTTGTGAATAATAATCCTTCGATATTGACGGAATAATACCTTTTCCGGACGTATTTTCACCATAGTTGATCTTCTCTGACCAAACGAAACCTTTAAGCTTGTCAGAATACTCAGATTGTATATGCAGAAACAACACTTCATACAATGAGCAACAACTGTAAGCTGCCTACGCGCCGGGTGAAATGAAATGTCTTGATTATTCGTCTACGTACTTTTAGAAATAAGATTAAATAACAATATATAGGCAATATTATGGGTACTGAAATCGTCGCTAGGTAAAACAAAGGTTTGTTGTTTTGCAAGAAGTAATCAATTGTAAAATTTAGGGGAAAAATGATAACAATAACTACTTTAAAACTAAGGGCAGTAACACAGAGTCCCGTCACAAAATGTAGGTGTTATAATATTACGATCTGTATTTCTTAATCTTATATTTCTTATTATTAAACAGGGAAGTGAGCGACGCAATGCTAAATAAACTGGCAAGATACATTCCAAGCTACGCCTACTACACGTTTAGCGAAAAGCTTGGAATCGAGCAAAACCAGGCCAGGAACATTATGGTTAAGTATAACAACGACTATTATATGACAACGATGGAATGCATGGGGATATGGAGGGATAGATCAACTCGTAGTGTAGCTGACTTACACGAAGTTCTGAGAGAAGCTGAACTAGGGGGTTTAATTGTTCACTGTAATTAATTGACAACAACAACAAGGTATGCCATGTGGACTCGTGGACTCGTGAACTCATACATACTGTGTATATGTACATATTTAGGAGCATATTATGTTTTGCGAGGAAAGAGATACGTATTAGACCAAAACACCAGAATTGAAAAAACTGTTTACATGTATATAGGTTAACAAATATTTCACCCATAGTACTTCTTCAAGATATATTGAGGCGGCCATGCATGAATGGCAATTGAGTATTCTCCTATTCTTAGAAGAATGGAACATGTTTTGATGTTTTTTGAAGAGCTTGTCATTCATGAGGTCAAATATGATGTTTTTCACCCTTATTTATGCCTCCGCCCACCGAAGGTGGTGATGTAGGCTTTATGTTTTCGGGCTGTCCGTCTGTACGTCAGTTAAAAAGTTTTTGATAATATGTATTACCATAGGAAGATGATCTGATAATATTTTGGTTTTAATAGTAGGTCAATGTCACATAGGTCAACATCTGACATTCCAACTATTAGCCTCGTTATCGAAAAATCTTTAGAACTACTAGAAATATGAAGCCCAAACTTGGCGATAATATGTATTTCCGGTTTAGCCTTGCTATTGCTATATCTCAAGAACTATTAGAGATATGGGGTTCAAACTTGGTGATAGTATGTGTCGTCACTGGAAGACAATAGAATTATACGGAAGGAAAGTAGGTCAAATGCCACAGAGGTCATTTTCTGAAAATAACAATTCCAAGCCTTGATATCGCAATATCTTAACATGATGACAGTATTACTATAGGAAGATGATCCAATTAAATTTTGGGACTAGTAGGTCAAGATCATAGTCGTCAGTTGGCATTTGATCATCGGCTTTTGTTTTTATCGTAATATGTCATGAATAACTTCATCCATTTTGAATGCTGATCTTAGGGCGAAGCCATATAGGAGACGCAGTCGCATTATGTCTTGTTTGGAATGTGAAATGAGTTTTTTTGACTGATTGAGAGATAATCATGATTACGTAATCATTACAAATGAGGCATCATTTTAAAAGGGAATAAACAGGTTTTGAAGTGATACCAACGTCAAATATGATAATGATATCAAAGTACTTAGCAAGAGAAATATCAACGCTTGTGGTTGACTGCGGACCCTTTTTGAGGATTTCATTACCATCCTTATTGAGAGAATTGTATATATGAGAGATCGTACGTGTGCACATTTTAACCACGATTTTATAATGGACATGTAATTTTGTGATTTAACGTGTAATGTGTTTTTATATGTCAAATTCAAGCTTGTTTAGCCTAAACCGTGGCAATTCTTTTAATTAAGTAAGTGCAATACGCTTCTCATAAATGTATATTATAACACAGAGCTAAGTGGACACAAATGGGAACTTTGTTACGCGCTCTACATATCCATCCATTTACACCTTTGTCATAAACCCATGGTGTGTTTTTCGTGGTTTACCGCGGCATATCAGAACAAGCCTTAAATGTGTATAAATCTCATTGGTTCTCATTTTCATTTCTATCGTAAATTGAAGGTTTGCCTTTTCACAATATAGCTTTTTAATTTTAGTGAGTGTTTATACATCTTCTCATATCTATGCCATATATTCAATGTAAATATTAATGTATAGGCCTAACATGATATCCACAAAAAATAGAATTGGACTTTTGTGCAGAAAGTCTTCAAAATGATACACTAGTAATCTTCATTACAAAATTCACGGGAGAGGTCTTAGAGCAGTCAGTTCCCCGGTTGCTTAATACACATGCTTTCCAATCAAACAATCAAGCATGTTATTAGCGATGATTCGTAATTTGTATTACATCCACATTAGTATTGACGTTATAATGGCAATATGTATTTAATATGATATCACATCTAACTGTACAGATTACTTTTCTGTGCATAAGACCTACACAGTTAAGTGTGTATATCTTGTGTAATTGTGTATTAAATATCATGAGTTTAGATTTATATGCATAAGGTTGGCGATTATGATACTAAATGTATAATGAGTGTGCCATGTGAAGTATCGTGCACTGCTAATACAAGTTTTTTTTTTGCATAGGTTTGCACATATAATGCAAAATGAACATCAATATATAGAGATTTCATTAAATATCTAATCTCAGTTCTGTGCATGATAAATGTCCAGTGTATTTACATCTGGAATATTATCATATCTCGTTGTTGAGTTTGTATTGCAACAGTGCGCAATTTATGTGCATATATAGGTCTGCACATGTTAAATGTAACATGTATTTAGATCGTGTATAATATAATATAATATAATATCTTGGTCTTGACTTTTTTGTAAATTTAGTGCATTAAAGATAAACTTGAGTTCTGGTAATGTGATTGCATTGTGAAAGAAAAGGTGTGGAATGGATCAGAAAAGTTGATCATATAGCATGTAAGTAATGGTGTGTAATGCAAGGTTCTGGAGTCATCTAAATCATCATAAATTTGGCAGAGTCTTGGTAAAGTAGCAATCACTTACACAGAAAGATGTATATGGGACAACACACATGGTGTCGGGGCTAGTACTACCCTGATCTCCTTATCTTTCTATGCTCATTACTCAGCCAGTATACATTTTCTTCCAAAATTGTTTGGCACATGACATTTATTTGTAATCTTGAACATTCAGTGTAAGTTTCGTTAGATTCTGTGAGAATTCATTTTTTTTTTGTACCAGAACTCAAGTTTATCTTTAAGTCTTCACAAAAATGTGCCTCAATATATTCCATAAATATCACACCCGAATTGACTTTGGATTTTTGTGCATAAACCTGCACATAATTTTGACTGTTTTAACATGATATCACAACTCACTGTTAATGCTTGATCTTTGTGCATTTATAATATGCTCATTTCATTGCTGAAAATCCAATGTATATACACCAATAAATAGATTTCATACAATATCGCTTATTACTTTTATGATTAGATTTGCGTGTATAAGTCTGCACATTGTAATGTTGCTTGTCGAATGCGCCTCTCTGTTTTTAATATATTGTGCATAAGTCTGCACATTATAGAATTCCCTTTCATACATGCCTTATATATTTTATATGATATCTTACTGGAAATTGATTATTGTGCATAAATCTGCACATAATAATGGTGAGTTTTCTTTCAATGTATGTATATGTTGTGTATCATAATTATCATATTAAGAATTCATTTTTGTGCATACGTCTCACGTCGTATTGGTAAAAATCAAATGGAAATAATTTCAGAACGGGATTGAAAGCTTGTGCATAATTCTGCGAATTACAATTTTGAATTTCCTATGCATACGTGTATATACATTATATGATATCATACTGTAATTGGATTATTGTGCATAAGTCTTATTTTATAATGGTGAGTTTGCTTTGCATACATGTATATATTTCATATAATATCATACTGAGATTGGATTTGTGTGCATAAGTCTGCACGTCATAATGATGAATGTCAATTGCATATATATTTCATATAATATCATACTGAGATCGAAGTGTTGTGCGTTTTAACGATATTGATGTAATTTGTACTGTCGAGTTCATGTTGAATATGATTGAATATTAAAATAGATGATGAGTTACTGAAATACTTCTTTCAATTTGTATAAGCTTGTTAAAATACCTGAATATTTGAGGTGCATGACGGGTAGTATTTGGGATAAAGACGGAGACGGAGGAAAAAAGAGAAGGAATACGAAAGAGATGGGGAGGAGAGGTCTGGAGAAGACGGAGTATATTAATTGATGGGATGACTTAACAGGAGAGCAAGAAGGATTACGATCGAATAGGAGATATTCAAATGTGTTTTACCCGCCCTATTTCATATGTGTGTAACTCAAATAAATTAAGGTGCATTATAATACGATCGTTAATATCTGAAGGAAGATATCAGTCTTTCAAATTTAAAATCAGTGCATTGGAATTAATTTGTACACACACAAATTGATTTATGAGCATCCATTTCATTTCATTTCATTTCATTTATTCAACCAGTATAAAAACAATTTACAATGAAAATATAATATACAATATAATGGTTAGGACCCCTAAGAAGCAGAAATCTGCTTGTAATCGGGGCCCTGCAAACAAACAATAACAAGGTAATGCACATAAATTAACAATACAAAGTAAAGGACTTGAATAATACAAGTACGCACCCGTACATCAACACACACGCACGTTCATAAAGAAGGTTACAGAGAAAGAATAGAAGGAAGCGAAAATAGGGCAGAAAGAGATAAAAGTAGAAGAAAAAAAAATGGGGAAGAGAAGTACTCACTCAACCATGGATTGAAAAATACTTTTTTTATACATTGATTTAAATCTGGTAATTGTAGAACATAATCTTAGGTCATAATTCAAGGAATTCCACTCCCGTACCCCAACAAATGATATAGAATTATACAGTGAAGTTGAACGACAGAGTGGGTGATGTAAATTTAGACGTTGACGAGTGGGGTTATTGTGAATAGAAGAATTTGTTTGGAACATATTATTAAAAACAGATGGTAACAGGTTTTTATGAAATTTAAACATAAATATACATGTATTCAGTTTGACCAAATCATATACAGGAATAATTTTCAGTTTAATAAATAATGGTAAACTTGGAGACATATAATGACTATTTGTTATTAACCGAGCTGCACGTTTCTGTAACACATAAATCTTTAGCAGTTTTGTTTTGTAAGTATTACCCCAAATGATATTGCAATAATTTAAGTGGGGAAGAAGTGTTGCATTGTAAATATTCA